GTCTTCGCGCCAAAGAACGAAGGAGAGAATAGAAGGGCCGTCATCTTCGCTGCCTCACGCTGCCACATGATGAGCATCGCCGGAGGTAGACAGCGAGTTTTTAGCCAACTCTTAACCACCTTGGTCACAGTTGACTGGCCGAGTGAAGACGACGTTGTGGTTTCGGACGGAACTGCTGGAACGCGTCGCCGGTTCGCCACACCGCTGCAGGACGACATATCCGTTGGAGAGCCGCTGCTGCCATGGCCGGAGTTCCTCCCCTGTTCTTCGCTGCTGAAACAACAAAGAAGACTATCCATATGTATGCCTTACCGCTGCTCCGTGTGTATGCCTTACTAGTGCTCTACGTAAGTATCGTAATTGTTTAAAAAAAACTTGGGTTGAACAAGACTGTTTTTATTATTATGTTGGAGTGGAATTTTAATAAATAATCATGAATAAATTATATTGGAAAAGTGAGATTTGTGAAATAAGAAAAACTTGATATAACCGGGTAATTTAATAAGTTAAACTAAGGTGGGCTAATTAATCTCAATTTATAAATAAATTATTAATTTTAGAATTTTAATATTCTAGAAGGTGAATTTGGAGAAGATCAAGATAAATGTTTCGAATAAGATTTACCGTGAATCAAGGTAAGTTTCTCTGCCAATCCAAAATCGTTTCCTCGTAATATATATGTTTTATGTGATACGTGATTTTAATGTGAGTTATGATGTATGTGCATGAGATTTTGAGATTGTTCGATCTGTGATATTTGAGAAGTGAAACTAAGTGCTTTTGGGTATTAAATATTTTATTTAAATATTTTCGAGCCAGTTTGAGAAATTGAGGAATATTTTGAAGTATATTAAATCAAGATAAAAGAATGATTTCGTAAAAATTGAGCACCACGGAAGAAATCCGTGGTGTCGGTTTTCCACATCCGGATAAATGTGGAGGGTGATTAGAGCGGCTATTACTAAGAAGTACAGTTTGAGTAACTTTCGGATCGATGATCCCTTTTAAGAAGGAGAGTTGTGGTAGTAGTAATAGTTCCGACGTAAAAGGCCTGCTACTGCTAAGGGTGAGGATAAGTTTTGAGTGATAATTGGATCGATGATACCTTTTAAGAAGAAGTTATAGTAGTAGTCCTTAATCATTCAAGAATTTTAAAGGTGGGGTGGTTGGGTTCCGACCACTCGGGATGACTTACTACTCGGAGGGCTTGGAATCCCTTTTAGGGGGTGTGCACACTTAAGGAAGCGATGGCGGTGAACAACGATGTATCAAGTCCCAACAAAGTTTTTTGAATTGTTTTGGCTTTTTGTTGTTGTTCGACATCCAATTCTTCTGTGTGTGGACAATGTGGTTTCCATGTTTTATTGAATTGGAAGAGGAACAATGTAACAATGGTTCTGGAAAGGGTGGGCAGTATGTAAGGAAAGAGAAGGTCAAGGGCAGTGTTTTTTGTTTTGCTTGAGGGCAGTGAGTTGTGTTTTGGTGTGATTGAATGTGAGGATAGTGTACGGGCAGTAATTTTTAAGATATGGACTAAATGGTAAGGGCCAAGGCAGTGGTGTTTGGCTTTTTTAAGGTTAGGCAGTGACATGTTTACACATTAGGATAAGGACTACATGGAGTAATGTGTTTGAGGGCAGTTAGAGGGGTTTCGTGAGGTACATGCAATGTGTGGGTGTGTGTAAATTTGGGGACATTATAAATTTATAAGAGAATTAATAAGCAGGTCTGAATAAGATGAAGGGCAGTAATAGTATATAATTACGGTAATAGTAATGGGTGAATATATTACATATAGTTATGGATAGTAATAAATTAATGTAAATAAATAGAGGCCATTAAGACTTGTGTGTACGTATGGACAATAATAGAAGTAGGTTTATGAATTCATTCACAACAATGTAGGTAATTATGCAAAGTAAGTAATACATATTAAGTGTTAAAAAACGGAGGGCAATAAAGCGTTATCTACCTTCACGGACAGTAAGGGAATAAAACGTGCATTAGACATGAGATTTAAAAATGTTAATTCTTCTCGCTAAGGGGCATTTGCAACGGGTCTTTTGTATACTCTTATATATAAAAAATGTTAATAAAACAATTAAAATATTGTACCAATAATATAATATATGTAGTAATCCGTAGTCATATAATAATGGAAACACATAACATATAGGGAATTACAAAGTAATTCCTTATTTTTAGGAGTCGCAAGTTATGTGCGGTTACAAAAAAGGAATCAATTCCTTATTAGTAGGAGCTCAATTAATTTCGTGTTTACATGCACCACGTGATAAGATGATCGACTCCACAATTTTAGAGGAACAATTAATTATCCATTATTCTATCAAGGGCAGGAGTGTAATAAAAAAATAAAAAACGAACATCCATGTCCAGGCGCAATATGCGAGCATCGTTTTGGGGAAATAAAGTAATGAAGTCATATATTTGGAATATCATGTTCTTTTAGTGATAAGAGAGGTAATTTTCTCATATAATATTGGGTGTTGCGAAACTCATTAAAGATCTGGGAAAACATATGTGATGCTCCCCAATGAGACAAAATTAATTATAAATGACATTTTGTACTGCAGTAAAACATGGAAAAAAATATTGTGTTTCAAAGATAGGCATCAAAATGATTATCACATAGAAACCAAATGGAAATCAAAATGAATATTTTTGCCTTGCAACAACTAAATCTGACACTACATACATTTGTGAAAAATGTCACTGTATTGTTGAGGGCTATAGTTCACTTTTATTATGTCATATAAAATAAATTTGGTATCTAACGCTAAGTTAGATTAGCAGAAAACATTCATATTGTGGCATGACCGTTTAGGTCACCCGGTCCATTTAATGATGCATAAAATCATTAAGAGTTCACTTGGACACCCACAAAAGATTATAAGGGTTCAATTATCAAGTGATTTTTCTGGTAAGACCTATTCTTTTGGTAAAATAATAAGTAGGCCTTATATGTACAAAATTGCACCTAAATCACCTTCATTTATAGAAGGATTCAAGCATATATTTGTGGAGGATATATGTGTCTGATAATGGTGTGTTCTGTTTTAATGCACGCGGACCATTCTCCCACTCCGACAATTTTATTTATTGGGTCGTCATGCTTATTATTTTGAATAGCAAAAACAAAAATGGGCAAAAAGGCAAGAGACATTGTATTGTTCCGTTATCACAACATCAATTAAAAACACTTATGTGTGGCCTGCAGATAATGACAGAAGCGTTAGAGCTCTAGTAGGGCTTCTGACCAATCCCCATGAAGCATCTAAAGTAGATGTCACTCCAGTCACTGTTGAATGATCACAAGGATCAACAGAGGAAAATTGTAGCCCCGGGGTCACGGTGGAACTCCATAGAATGGCCTCAACATGTTAGTTGGTGATAGAGATATTGCAATGTCAGGACTTACTTCAATTCTCGAACTGCAGCTATAGTAGATGTGCCTATGAAAGTTCTCACATGGTCATGATGACCATCAACTGACTCATAAAATGTGTCTGTGTCCTAGAAAAATTAAAATCATTTTGCAGGGATTTACTATACATAACGTGATCAATGATAGTTCAGTGGTGTGGGACTGTGGGCCATTGTAGTGAGTATCAGCTTGAAATGTGCACTTGATGATTTTCTGCTCAATGGAGAAGCATGCATGCCAATATAATACTCCAATTCATAATGTGCATAGGGTGTTTGCTCAATAACTCGTCCTCCCGCCATGTGTGTGGAGGAATTAGATCAGATAACACATATGCAATTTTCGACCCGATTTTTAGTATGGGTCATCCGGAAACAGTCTCTTTGTGCTTTAGTACAGGGGTAAGACTGCGTACATCCGACCCCTCCCCCTACCCCACCAGATGTGTGGGAGCCTTTACGGCACTGGGGTAATGATGATGATGATGATGACCACATATGACAGACCCACAAAAGGTTAAGAACCCTTTCGTACCCATTTCATGGTGGGTCCATCCCTTTTGTCATAAAACAACTTCTAAAATGTTTCATCTATGTTTGTTCTTAAGTCAGCCTCTTTTGAAGCTTTAGAAGAGCTATAAGATTGAGATTCTGATTTAATAATACATTTTTAGCATAAGATGTTTCGGCGTAGGTGAATGGTGGACACATTTTCGAGAGGTAAAGATTTTCTCTCTTGATAGACATTATATTTCAGATGTTTGGTTTAATAAACCTTGAGGGGATAGTTCGAACAAACATCATCACAAATGTCATAGGTAGAAGCTTTAAATTTCTTCTGTTGAGATTTGCCATCATCACATCATAACGATGGTTGGGGAGAATTAAGTTTCTCAGGTTTGTTAACTTCAGCACTAGAAGGCAAAATATATATCTAAACTCCCCAGAAAAAGATTGAAAAGCATTGTTTGTAACCCAATTAAATGACTGAATGCTTGAACTTGAGAAGTTCTCTTTAAAAGTACTACAAGACTTAGAGATAAGAAAATGATTTTTTTTTTATTTTTCAAGTTTTACAACTTCCTTTTGCTTTTATTTGAAAATCCCAAACCATCATCTTCTATCGGCATTTATTAAGAACCTTGCTTTTTGGCTTTTATAATGTGAGGAAGAGGACGACTTTTTCACTTTAGAAACTTGTATAAAGAGAGGCTAAGAAAATTTAGCCTTTAAAGTAGGAGAGGATGTGGAGGTTGTGTCTGTACTAGGATCATTTTTTAGAGAAGAAATCATATATAAAAGTTTTTCGAGTTCTGTTTTGAAAACCTCCCTCTCCGTTTTAAAGATCTGTGCAAGTCTGCAATAGTGCAAATGATCTTTGGAATATAAATATTTTCCAATTTAGTGTTTTCAGACACATATGGCTCTTCCCCCACGGATACTGTCACGCCCCGGACCCACCCGGACATGTCAACAATCCGCCGTAAAGTATGAATAGTCAACCGCAGTTCAACACATCCATACTATACAAGGCGTCTGGAATATCATTCACACATAGTACATCCATAAACAAACATAATGTAAAACATTCATTAAAACAGCGGAAATATTAATACAAGTGTTCAAGCCACACTTGGCAAACTTAGGCGTACAAGCCCTTAAATAATAATTCAAAAATAATATCCATGAGCATCATTCATATTGTTTTCAAAACAGGAACGGAAGCAGCATGAACCAAGTCTTCTTCCTTTGATCTCCCCAAAGCAATAGGCGGTGGTAGCAACCTTCAAGTTCTACCTGAAACTGTGAGGTGGCCTCCCCCATGAAGGGGAGGTTAGTACTTTGAAGCATTTGAAAAGTACAATGACAACTACACTCTATATAATCAATGTTTCAATTTATAAGACCCCAATATAAAAAATATCACTTTTATCCATTCATGATTTCTTTACATGAAGTAAAAGTATATTTTATCACAATGTTTCACAATTAATTTCATTTTCATGCTATCATATTCATAATATACAATCTCTTCTAGATTTGTATATCATGCTTCATTTACTCACATGCAATAGTATTTTCATTTAGGCATTATTAATCATTAATAATCCATGAAAATCACATTTAATACTTTACATAATCTTATGAAATTAACTCACTAATTATAAGCAATATAGTCGGTCATTCTCACCTCTAATGAGCTTTAAGAAGTTCTACCCTTCTCGGTTGAACTCCGGCGAAACTCCGGCGAAACTCCGGTGATACTCCGGCAAAACTCCGGTGACGATTAGGAACACCTTAGTGAAGCTCCTAACAAGGTTTTATCATCATAAAACACATATCAACATAAATAACCTCTAAAAGGTTATTTTCCGGCGAACCAGTCGTTTTGGCTTCTAAGTCCGTTCTTGGACTTAGAACTACATTCCAACCCCTTGTTCTATACTTCTAAACATGTAGAACAATACTAGGGTTCCTCCATATGCTACACAAGTCATATGGTAAAATAAAAAGTAGAGGAAAAGTTATTATAAGGTTATTACCTTAATCCTTCACACTTTTCCCTTCTTAACTCTTCTTCCTTGGACTCCTAATGCTTGAGCTCGAATTCTGCAGCTATGGAGGATGGTTTGAGAGTTCTCTTTCTCTTTCTTGGTGGTGTGGGTCGAGCTAGAGGATGGAAGTGAGAGGGGATGTGTATTTTTGCCTCAAATGGACAATAAGAGAGGGTGAGGGGCCCTCTTTGATATTTTAGATTCCAAATGGCCTTCCTCCACTCATCCCTTTGTCATTCCAGCTCCCATAAGTCACAATGCACACACAAAAACGTGGTGTGGCCCCCACTCGTGTGAGATGTCATCCCTTTGTGTTCCAATCTATACAATCGGTCCTGAAAGTTGTATTTCTTGGACTGCTTTAATTATATTTTATTTTATCGAGCCAAATAAAATATCACACGTTCCTAATAATTATAGGACTTTAGAATATATGTACATTCCCAAACATTAATTTAGGAGTCTCCAAAATTCATTTTGGGTTGTTATCCGATAAGTTAACAATACCGGTAATTGGGCCTCGTTTGACCAACGGGTCATCTCTATGCCCTTTCTATGGACCAACTAAAATATCCACCACCATATACATATTATCTAGATTAAGATGAATATAATATGTGCTTCTGGAATTATCGGACAGTCCCCGTTCCCGATGTGTGCCCCACATGCAATTTACTATTCACGCAAAAGAAATAATAAAATTACAACTTCGCAAATTTATAATTCATCCTTCAAGGTTTATTACATAACTTACTAAAAAGTAAATATGCTTGGGGACGGTGTTACAAGTTCACCCACCCCCCCCCCCCCCTAACGGAAATTTCGTTCCCGAAATTCACAACGCTTATTCAAACAGAAATGCATACTGTTCCTTCATCAAGGCCTCCGTTTCCCAAGTTTCTTCTTCAACTCGGTCACTTTTCCAAAGGATTTTCACCATTGGAACTTTCTTGCTCCTTAGCTTCTTTACTTTTCTATCAAGTATCTTTACCGGTTGTACGACATAGTTCAAGTCTTCCCGTATTTCTACGGGTGGTTTCTCTAGTACATGCGACGGATCCGGCATAGTTTTCTTGAGCATAGACACGTGAAACATGTTATGTATCTTCTCCCATTCGGGAGTCAACAACAATCGGTATGCTACGGACCCAATTCTCTCAAGAATCACAAATGGCCTATGTATCGTGGGTTAAGTTTCCCTCGGCTCTGGAATCGGATGATTCCCTTCCAAGGTGAAACTTTCAAGAATGCCTCATCTCCCACCTTAAACTCTAAGGCTCTTCGGCGCTTATCGACATAGATCTTCTGTCTATCTTGGGTCGCCTTAAGCCTTTCACGAATAATCTTCACCTTTGACTTGGTGATCTTCACCAATTCGGTGCTCTCAAGTTTGGCCATACCAACCTCATCCCAACACAAAGGTGTACGACATATCCTCCCATACAATGCCTCGTATGGAAGCATGCCTATACTCGCCCGATAACTGTTGTTATAGGCAAACTCCACGAGTGCTAAGTGGTTGTGCCAACTTTCTTGGAACTCCAATGCACAAGCTCTCAACATATCTACTAATATCTGAATAACCCGTTCGGATTGCCCATCGGTCTGTGGGTAGCCGATTAATAACGAAAGCAGCTGTATATAATGCATCTACCCAAAAAATATTGGGAAGATGAGCATGAATGAGAATGGTCCGAGCGAGTTCAAGTAAATGACGATGTTTTCGTTCAGCCACACCGTTCTGAGCAGGAGTATCCGGGCAAGATTTTCTAAAAAGAATGCCACAGTTGTTAAAATGTGTGTGAAAAGAGGAATTAACAAACTCACCACCGCCATCACTTTGAAAACATTTAATTTTGCAATTAAATAAATTCTCAACTAATTTTTGGAAATTACAGAAGTGAGTAAAAACCTCAGATTTTCTATGCATGAGATAAACCCAAGTGAAACGAGAAAAATCATCAATAAAAGAAACATAATATTTAAAACCTAGATTAGAAGAAACATGTGATTGCCACGCATCAAAATGTATTAGTTGTAAAGGCGCATTAGAATCATGAATAACATCTGAAAAGGGAAGGCGATGGGACTTGCCCAGTTTACACGAAACACAATCATGAAAAAAAAAAGTTTGAGCTAGTAAGTAAATTATGTTTCCTAAGAACAGAAAAATATTGTAATACCCCAAAATTTTAAGTGAAAAGTTCCGTTTAAAATAAAATAATTAATTTTATTGATAAAATAAAATTGTTGCATAATTACTTATCAACAAAGATTACTCCAAGAAAATATTATTCAATAATATTTAAACATCTATATACTAAATAACACACATAAACAAATTATATTCTTTACTATACAAAGGTTGACTTTTCAAACTAATTGATAATACTCCTAGGTACTCATACGTACATAGATATGTTCACATATATAGACATGTACACGTACTCCATACTTTGTATTATGTGTATAAGGGTAGAACTCAATTACCTAAACCCTAAGCCCAGATTGATGCTTATATATATATATACATATACTCTGTAGTTGAAAAAACTACAAACATATACTCGCCGTCCTATACCAGCTAAACTCACGAGAGAAAAATGGAGAGGCTCAGAGATGGTCTGGGTCGCGAAGGAGAAAAGAGGAGGGCCAGTTCCGCCGTGGAGATTTAGAGCTGCGAGTCCGGACTGATTCGCTACCCACTAGTACGTAGAAAATATATATAAACACACCTATACGATTATTCTGCTGCAAAGAGAGAGTAAAAGAGAAAGATAGATGGAGAAAACCGAATGTTGTCGGAGGAGAAATGGCTTGCCGGAGTTGCCGCCGGACTGGTCTTCGCGCCGGAGAACGAAGGAGAGAATAGAAGGGCCGTCATCTTCGCTGCCTCACGCTGCCACATGATGAGCATCGCCGGAGGTAGACAGCGAGTTTTTAGCCAACTCTTAACCACCTTGGTCACAGTTGACTGGCCGAGTGAAGACGACGTTGTGGTTTCGGACGGAACTGCTGGAACGCGTCGCCGGTTCGCCACACCGCTGCAGGACGACATATCCGTTGGAGAGCCGCTGCTGCCATGGCCGGAGTTCCTCCCCTGTTATTCGCTGCTGAAACAACAAAGAAGACGATCCATATGTATGCCTTACCGCTGCTCCGTGTGTATGCCTTACTAGTGCTCTACGTAAGTATCGTAATTGTTTAAAAAAAACTTGGGTTGAACAAGACTGTTTTTATTATTATGTTGGAGTGGAATTTTAATAAATAATCATGAATAAATTATATTGGAAAAGTGAGATTTGTGAAATAAGAAAAACTTGATATAACCGGGTAATTTAATAAGTTAAACTAAGGTGGGCTAATTAATCTCAATTTATAAATAAATTATTAATTTTAGAATTTTAATATTCTAGAAGGTGAATTTGGAGAAGATCAAGATAAATGTTTCGAATAAGATTTACCGTGAATCAAGGTAAGTTTCTCTGCCAATCCAAAATAGTTTCCTCGTAATATATATGTATTATGTGATACGTGATTTTAATGTGAGTTATGATGTATGTGCATGAGATTTTGAGATTGTTCGATCTGTGATATTTGAGAAGTGAAACTAAGTGCTTTTGGGTATTAAATATTTTATTTAAATATTTTCGAGCCAGTTTGAGAAATTGAGGAATATTTTGAAGTATATTAAATCAAGATAAAAGAATGATTTCGTAAAAAGTGAGCACCACGGAAGAAATCCGTGGTGTCGGTTTTCCACATCCGGATAAATGTGGAGGGTGATTAGAGCGGCTATTACTAAGAAGTACAATTTGAGTAACTTTCGGATCGATGATCCCTTTTAAGAAGGAGAGTTGTGGTAGTAGTAATAGTTCCGACGTAAAAGGCCTGCTACTGCTAAGGGTGAGGATAAGTTTTGAGTGATAATTGGATCGATGATACCTTTTAAGAAGAAGTTATAGTAGTAGTCCTTAATCATTCAAGAATTTTAAAGGTGGGGTGGTTGGGTTCCGACCACTCGGGATGACTTACTACTCGGAGGGCTTGGAATCCCTTTTAGGGGGTGTGCACACTTAAGGAAGTCGTTTCATTTCCGCAAGAGCAGTTGTGGTACCGATACTTGTTCGGGGTGGCCGTCCGTAACCACGGTCCACCGGGCTCAGTCGAAAGGTTGAGCACCGCCCTTCTAAATTACTAGGAAGGTAGTGAAAAAGAGATTTTCTTAAGAAATTTAAAGAGATGAATTACTATGATATTTTCGAAGAGAAGTTTGTGGAGAGTTTTAGTAAAGAAGTGATTTTGAGAAAAATCAAAGAGAAGAGAATTTTGGTGGAGTGTGTTATTTTTATATAATATTATATAAAAATCTATTTTAGTCAAACCTGATTATTTTACGGGGTTGGGTAGTACTTACTTAGCTCTAAAGCTAATTTTTGTTTTCTTTCTTTTGCTTTGTTTCTACACTTTATTTGTGCAGGTGATGATGGTTATGTTGATTGCTGAATGCATGCGCCTGAGAGCGAATTAGAAGTTGCTTTAGTCAAATCTAGTCATGAAATAAACATTTAATTATTATTACATAAGTTTTTGTTGTTATGCTTTGGGTTGCATGTGCATTCGGTTAAGAGATGACCGAATGTGGCGGTAACACTCGTTTTCCTATTAAGACTTCCGTTGTATCTCTCTGATGTTTTCAAATAAAGTTGATAATTCTTTTAAATAAATCATTATTTAAATGTATTTTTGGGCGGGAAATTTAGGGGTGTTACAAATTGGTATCAGAGACTATTGTTTTTCAAAATCTTTTTTTAGGTTTTCAAAAACTATTTGAATTGACTTAATTATTTTTTTAATTAGGATTAAAGAACCCAATTAGGAATAAAGTTAAGGCATAGGATTGCGGTGAGACTGTGGGATGCTTGATTTGTTATTATTTATGTTGGATTAATTTTGATGACATGAGAATTATGTTAAATTATGTGAACCTTAATTGTTGCCTGAGATAGGTGTATTAGTGAGAAGAACTCTAGGGCATATTTGCATATTTGGTCCTATGCATGTGATTGAGTAGAAAATTGAATAGTAATACTCCTAAAAAAAATAGACTTCTGCTTCGGGGACGAAACATTCTTTTAAGAGGGGTAGAATGTAATACCCCGAAATTTCAAGTGAAAAGTTCCATTTAAAATAAAATAATTAATTTTATTGATAAAATAAAATTGTTACAAAATTACTTATCAACAGAGATTACTCCAAGAAAATATTATTCAATAATATTTAAACATCTATATACTAAATAACACACATAAACAAATTATATTCTTTACTATACAAAGGTTGACTTTTCAAACTAATTGATAATACTCCTAGGTACTCATACGTACATATATATGTTCACATATATAGAAACGTACACGTACTCCGTACTTTGTATATGTGTAGAAGGGTAGAACTCAATTACCTAAACCCTAAGCCCAGATTGATGCTTATATATATACATATACTCCGTAGTTGAAAAATCTACAAACATATACTCGCCACCCTATACCAGCTAAACTCACGAGAGAAAAACGGCGAGGCTCAGAGATGGTCTGGGTCGCGAAGGAGAAAAGAGGAGGGCCAGTTCCGCCGTGGAGATTTAGAGCTGCGAGTCCGGACTGATTCGCTACCCACTAGTACGTAGAAAATATATATAAACACGCCTATACGATTATTCTTCTGCAAAGAGAGAGTAAAGAAGAAAGATAGATGAAGAAAACCGAATGTTGTCGGAGGAGAAATGGCTTGCCGGAGTTGCCGCCGGACTGGTCTTCGCGTCGGAGAACGAAGGAGAGAATAGAAGGGCCGTCATCTTCGCTGCCTCACGCTGCCGCAAAATGAGCATTGCTGGAGGTAGACGGTGAGTTTTTAGCCGACTCTTAACCACCTTGGTCACAGTTGACTGGCCGAGTGAAGACGACGTTGTTGGTTTCGGACGGAACTGCTGGAACGCGTCGCCGGTTCGCCACACCGCTGCAGGACGACATATCCGTTGGAGAGCCGCTGCTGCCATGGCCGGAGTTCCTCCCCGGTTCTTCGCTGCTGAAACAACGAAGAAGACGATCCATATGTATGCCTTAGCGCTGCTCCGTGTGTATGCCTTACTAGTGCTCTACGTAAGTAACGTAATTGTTTAAAAAAAACCTTGGGTTGACCAAGACTATTTTATTATTATGTTGGAGTGGAATTTTAATAAATAATCATGAATAAATTATAATGGAAAAGTCAGATTTGTGAAATAAGAAAAACTTGATATAACCGGGTAATTTAATAAGTTAAACTAAGGTGGGCTAATTAATCTCAATTTATAAATAAATTATTAATTTTAGAATTTTAATATTCTAGAAGGTGAATTCGGAGAAGATCAAGATAAATGCTTCGAATAAGATTTACCGTGAATCAAGGTAAGTTTCTCTGCCAATCCAAAATCATTTCCTCGTATTATATATGTATTATGTGATACGCGATTTTAATGTGAGTTATGATGTATGTGCATGAGATTTTGAGATTGTTCGATCTGTGATATTTGAGAAGTGAAACTAAGTGCTTTTGGGTATTAAATATTTTATTTAAATATTTTCGAGCCAGTTTGAGAAATTGAGGAATATTTTGAAGTATATTAAATCAAGATAAAAGAATGATTTCATAAAAAGTAAGCACCACGGGAGAAATCCGTGGTGTCGGTTTTCCACATCCGGATAAATGTGGAGGGTGATTAGAGCGGCTACTACTAAGAAGTACAGTTTGAGTAACATTCGGGTCGATGATCCCTTTTAAGAAGGAGAGTTATGGTAGTAGTAGTAGTTCCGACGTAAAAGGCCTGTTACTGCTAAGAGTGAGGATAAGTTTTGAGTGATAATTGGATCGATGATACCTTTTAAGAAGTTATAGTAGTAGTCCCTAATCATTCAAGAATTTTAAAGGTGGGGTGGTTGGGTTTCGACCACTCGGGATGACTTACTACTCGGAGTGCTTGGAATCCCTTTTAGGGGGTGTGCATACTTAAGGTAGTCGTTTCGTTTCCGCAAGAGCAGTTGTGGTACCGGCACCTGTTCGGGTGGCCGTCCGTAACCACGGTCCACCGGGCTCAGTCGAAAGGTTGAGCACCGCCCTTCTAAATTACTAGGAAGGTAGTGAAAAGAGATTTTCTTAAGAAATTTAAAGAGATGAATTACTATGATATTTTCGAAGAGAAGTTGAGAGTTTTAGTAAAGAACTGATTTTGAGAAAAATCAAAGAGAAGAGAATTTTAGTGGAGTGCGTTATTTTTACATAATATTATATAAAAATCTATTTTAGTCAAACCTGATTATTTTACGGGGTTGGGTAGTGAATTCTGAGAACGAAGGTAGATGGCACGCTGCTCCAAGGCAAGTAATTGCGGATGAATGTTGTCCACCGTAAAGCCATCCGGGAAAAGTGTAATTGAGGTAATAAAGGATTCATAGTCCCTACCAAGACCTTGAACAGTAGCCGTGAGAAGTTCCCGGTTGCTAACTGGTGAATTAATACAGGTAAGAGCATCGGCTAGAATTTTAATTTCAAGAAGATATTCATCCATGGATTGAGTGTCCTTTTTCTTGAGTGAACTTAACACCCGCATAAGTTCCACGGCTCGGACAACACTTTCCGCCATAAACCGAGTTTCCAAGCGTTCCCAGATTAGAGCGGAAAATCTAAGATCATGAACCTCAACCAACATATCTCGGGATAGGGTAGCAAAAAGCCAAGATCACACAGTTTGATCAATACGTAACCATGAACTATAATCGGGGTTGGGAGTATCATGACCAGTGGGGTCACGTATGGATGGGTTGGGGGCAGAAATTGATCCATCTATTATCCCCAACAAAGCATGTGAAACTAAGAATGATTCAAACTGTGTCCTCCACGGGAGGTAGTCATCAACCGTGGCTAGGCGGGTCGTGACTATATTGGTAACATTTGGTGTAGAAAAAGATAATTAAGAAGCAAGGCTGACTAAAGGGGAAGCATTTACCGTGGAGCTTGATGGCCGCAGGAAGGAGGACTGGTTAAAACCAGTGAGACTTGGATGGCACATCCATGTGGGACCAGAAAACACAGGCTTATGAGAGGGCACCCGGGCAGAAGAGCCAGTGTGCGCCTGGAGAGGAGGCGGCGGCAACGATGTTGTTGGTGTCCATGAGAATGGCTCTGGCATATTAAATAAGCTGTAGGACGACAACGGTGGAAACGGAATCCGGGATGTAGAGATGCGTTTTGATAACGTCACATCAGACGTTGAAGGTAGCTCCTGATGAAACAAGGGCGTCTGAATGTTGGTCGTCGTCGTGTGAGAAGTCATGGAAGCCGGCTGAGAAATGGGCGGCTGCACCGGCAGAGGGCTAGGCACCGTTGTTGACGTAGGGATAAGAGGAGTCGGCATGAAGAATTAGGTTAAACCTTAGCGACTGATACCATATGAAACAATGAATTTGGAGAATAATCCCTTACCTGACTGGCTGTCCTAGTATTGCATTTATAGTACGGATAATAAATTATCCATTTTTCTAATAATTTCCTTTTTACTTGCTTTCTTCTCATTAACATTGACCTATTTTTTTGATAATTCCAGGTTTTGTAATTTGTTGTTTTTACTTTACTGAGCTACTTGATAGCACTACAATATTCGAAGCAAAAAATCATGTCCAAAGCCTATCATCATCATCTCTGCCACCCTCTGCCAATTATACCAGATATAGAGATTTGCCTTAGATAGTAAGATTCATAACTATCACATATAGAGAAATGCGTGAAAGCACATGAATAGAAGATGGACAGCTCTGCAGTCCAACATGCAATAAATCTAACTTGAGATCATCATACGTTTCTTCTTTTCTATTTACCTTTGCTGCTGCTTCGTGGTACTTTTGTTTTGTTTCAGTTTTCCTTTGCTAGATTCAATAGAAATAGCAGATCATCGTTCAACTATGGATCTATTAGAAGTCCTAAAATGCTTCTTCTTATGCCCATCTTTCTTATAATGTGAACACCGTTGCCACTGTCAAGGAGCAAACTCTCTAGCTCGAGGTATACACTTCTTTTTATGTCAACCACGTTGGGATGTGAGCATATAGGTGGAGTGCACGTTATGGACTGCATCTAATCAAGAAGATGTGATTCAAAGTAAGAACCAATATTGGATATGTCATCGTAACACGATAATCGTCAACGTTGACCTGCATGCATTGGCAACACCCTGAACATGCATGTATGAACTACTCCGGTTGATACTCGCAACATGAGCTTGTTTTGTCTTTGAGATGAACAACCACACTTCTAGATGCTGCTTTGTCCACCACCTCAAACTCATATTGAGTAGCATGCTTGCCCTAAAACAAAATACACAACATAAAATGTAAGCACAAAGTGAATGTAGAGTATGCAAATAATAGAAGAATAAGAATGTAATTCGAAATATACACTTTTCTAGATGCATTTCCATATTGGTGTTTGCTGATATCAGGAACTATATCAAGTGTGGCTTGATGGTGGGGGTCTTCTCTGACATTATATTGAGAGATCATGCATGACCACAACTAAACTTGGAAAACAACAGATAATAAATATACAATAAGTAGTCAATAAATGAACAATAAATTTTTGATAGTATAATAGCAGAGCGGGCAACATGAATCACAATATATGCAGTTCACAATATTCAATGATCAAATTACCTCAAGAGGCCGTTGAGAAACTCCACGATTAATATATGTAGGTCATTGCTAATCAAAAGGTTAATTTAATTGGTAGAACATTGGATGTCACAATCCTAGGTCTGTGGCTATTTATGGTGCCCTAGAATGCTTCTATCAGTATTCCGAAAATCAGAGTATCATTGGAGCCGTAGTTATCGATTCACCAGTACTAGAATTCGTAGTCGAGGTCCGTCAGAAGGTAGCAGATCGATGTATCCGTCCAAAGCTGGTTCGACTCGGAGATGTGAAGCGACTGTGTTCGCGATGCCTTTGGTGAGAGAGATGAGTTGAGCCGGAGATGTGAAGCGGTTGTGATCTGGCGAGAAAGATGAGGTTGGAGAGATGAATTTGGGGAAGTTTTTATTAAAATGAAGTAATGTAGGGAAGGGTAAAATTGGAAAGTAACAATAAGATTTGCTAAAATAGAGCTAAATAAATCATACGAATGGCAAAAACATGGTCAAGTCTTATTTTTGTATATTGCATATGATTTAGTACTATGAAGGGCAACTTCTCGTTCAAAAATCACATCATAGTAACTCAATGTAAATTACTGTTATGTAAACGTTGAACACAATTATAGTCACTAATAATACTAAGTTTCATTTTTGTCCATAACGTTCTCATTAGTAATATTTAAGGAAAACCCCCTAAAAAATATACATTTGTACCATGCTCAAGGTACAATCGATAGTACATATACAGTCCGCTTGATAACACTAAAGTTGGTGGGATTGATTGATTTTGCCGAATATATGAAAAAAGTTATATATAAATTATATTTTATTAATAAAATAAAGTAAAAATTATATGAAAATAACTAAAATAGTCAATTACAATAATTTCAAATTCAAATGTTACTTAGAGCATCTCCAATGCTACAATGAGCACGATGCACATGTGGTATGAGAGATAGCCACATAAATGTTAGGAAATAAATTATCCCTCCTTATTAAAATGATTTTAACAAATTTGGTAAGATTTCTCTACAATGTGAGGAAGAACGTCTTGATTTAGATATTGTGGTTGACATTGTTAAGAAATACTTATCAAAATTGTATAAAATCATTCAAATAAAAAGAGAAATTATAAAATCATTCAAATAAAAACAAAAATAATCCATTTACTACTCCATCCGTTCCTAAATAAACTTCCAACTTTCCTTTTTCATCCGTTCCAATTAAAACTTCCACTTTCCCTTTTTGGTAAAGAATTTGTGGTTCACAACATTTCTTACACATTTCTCTCTCATCTGCACAACTCTCCACCACACAATATGCACTATCTTAAAACCCATTTGGAAGTTAAAATGGGAAATGAGGTATAATATTTATGTGAGAAGCATTGCTCAACTCTGCTGATGATTACTCAACTCTCCTGTTCGTGATTTGCCTATAAGACACACCATCACGCCTGAGACAACATATTGAGAAATAAAGTCTTCAGAGAGAAAACGCGTCTCAGAAGGTGGAGGGAGAGGGTAACTCTGCCCCTCAGGAGGTACCTAAGAAAGATTATATACGGAGCGTCAATTTATATCATTAGTATATTTTTAGCCACGATGATCGGTGAAGTCACCTTTCGTTCCTTGCGAGATGTTTTTGTGTGTGTGTAGAAATTGAGGTGTTGAATTTAGTTTTGAACGAGATGATTAGATTTAAGTTCCGAGGTTACTTGTAGCTGGTGAATTATAGGGGTTCGTTTACATGGTTTGGGATGTACTGAATACTTAATTGAATATATTGAGTGCCTGGTGTAGTTCTGTTGAATTACGAGCCTCTAGTGCTAGACTTGAAGTCTTTGAGTTGAGTTGACGTCGTCTTCTCTTGTAGGGCTTGTTTGAGATTTGCAGGCTTGTGTCCTGGACATGTCGATTTAAAATGCTAGTTGTTTGGTTATGGATTGAAAAGGTCGAGTTGACTTAATATCTTCTAGGGTTTGATTCAAGTTTGAGTCTTTTAGCTCATTTGTTCTGTTCAATATTTGTTTTTGGTTATGACTCATCTTAAAGGGTGATTACTTAGGGTCGAGGGGCTTGCAATGCTGGTCTCATATTTTCTTGCTTACAGCTGAAACCTTTTAGTTTATTATTTTTCTATCCCTGCTTAAATTTATGAGAATTAACTTCATCTATGCTGTAAGATCTGGTTTATGCAAGATCAATGACCATAGAAGTGATATGAAATTGCTGCTGTCTTAATTATTCCGCAAGTTCTTAGTGCTGGCTAATTGTTTTTCATGCTTTAGTCTAGCGTGTGGCCCTCTCTTTATTTTCCTCGGCCAATACTGATGAAATGACTACTTCATTCTCTTTTTGATCCCATTTTTCCATTTAGACATTTATTATAGGTAGATACTGTCTTAATCTTTATGCATGAGCAGTTTATTCTTGAGAAAGAATTAGTATGGCCAAATTAGTAATTTTAGGGATTATAAGTGGCAAACTGGCAGAAAGATCTCTTTTGAGATTAATAGTTGGGGCCTTGCAGGGTTTGGTGGGTATAGTCCTGTATCTTCTTGGTCACCTGATGAGTGGAAATAACGGGTACTCATCAAGCATATCCGCATGTGATAAGATTAGCGTAAAAATGATGATATACTTTTTTAGTGATCGATGATGTATTGCAATAGGAATGGAGGTATTCTTCGATAAAAAGGGAGTAATAACAAAAAGGGAATATGTTATTTTGTTGTTCAATTGTATGATAATGTTCGTTGATTACTTTTCAACCTTTTGAAAACATGAGAATCCTAATAAAGAACCTCTATTAATTGCATTCACAGAAATGAGTCAAGACTCAAGATAGATGCACATGGTTATTCTTAGGAATAAGAACAACACATCATAATTTGGGTTGGCAGGAGAAGAAATTGGTGTGGGCCAGGAAAAAATCATTCAGACAATTTCATATACAAAAATGATCACACATGATATTTTTTTCAGAACTCGGTGTGGGCTGGTCCTGGGATGCCCCCCTACCTATGCCCTTGCATCATATGTTGCTATTAATTAAATTAGACATTCTTTCCTTTCTAGTTAACTGCTGCCTGTTTATTTGCAACTTTTTGATGTCCATTATAGATTTTGGACTTTCAAGTTATTTGGAAATATGTATAATATAGGTTAAGAGTTTTCCATTGTAATCTTTGAGTTAGGGAATGTTTGCGTTTGCTTCTACTTTAAAAAAAGTGAGTTTTAAAGTGATTTTGGAAAAAGTGTTTTGTAGTAAAAGTTGACGGTGTTTTAGGATAAAAGTGATTACGATAAAAAAGTTAAAGTTAGAGTGTTTGGTAAAAAGTGATATTTGATGGTATATTTTATTTTATAAAACTACAAATACACCCTTGTCCAAACTAATTACTCCGTATATGGCATCACAAACAATTAGATACATGGAGGCATTGGCATAGCTTTCTTAAGTCGGACACTCCAAAATAATTGCCCACCAAGATGCCGCTGTGACCAGACTACATAGATACATGAGAGGCACCGGCAATCTACGCTGCCCACCATCGCTTTTCCATCCTCCCATTTCGGATCATTTCGTTTCATAATATATATATATATATATATATATATATATATATATATATATATATATATATATATCAGTTGGAGTATATTAGAAGAATCCCCGATCCAAATCAGTGGTGGATCTATGAATTAAATTTTGGGTGTTCATTTTTTTCCATGATTAAAATTTGAAAAGACAATAAATAATTAAACTAAATTTATACATGTATACTATACCACATTTTTCAAAATCCTAGGTATTCATATGAATACGTTTGAACTAAAGTGGCTCCGCCACTGATCCAAATCATGGTCTTCGGAGCTTGTTTCATCAGAGAATATATATACATATTATATATATAATATGCATATATATTCAAAGAGGGGAGTGGCATGGTGGGCGAAGAAGGTTGCCAGGCTTGCGACAATGAAACAGTGGCCAAGGTATTTTGGTTTAAGCTGGAACTTTTTACCCCTATAATTATCCTTGGAGTCAAATAATTTACAAAAAATCAAGAAGCAGTTAGAAGCACCTTTACCTCAGCTTTTCGCTTTAAAGTGCTTAATTTAAGGGCATTTGAAAACACTAATTTCAGCTTTTTTTTTAAAGTTGAAAGCATTTTTTTAATTTTTTGCAAACACTCCCTTAGTAAGGTAAAACTTATCATCATCGTCATCATTACGCTAGTGCCCGCAAAGTCTCCCACCTATGGTGGGGTAAGGGGGGAGGTCAGATGTATGCAACCTTACCCCTGTACTAAAGCACAAAGACTGTTTCAAGATGACACATGGTGAAAATTGCGTCGAAAATTGCATGGACTGATTTGCTTCTTAATAACAAAGAAGCGCAGGCTGTTTAGTGAACCATTTTTCTTTGTTCCATTATTTTCATCATATTCCCAAGCGGAAAAAATAGCGAGTCTTTGGCTCCAATGCTCCATTACAAATGATGGAAGGTAAAACTGATATTAAGTTTTTTTTCCAGGAAAGTCCATTATGCATCCGATAGACATCTCATATCTGATTAGCTCAATAACTTAATATTTTTGATGTTTTAATGCATGATTTTCTGCATGCCAATCTTGCGTGAACAAGTGTTTGATTGATTGTCCTTTTAATGGGGAAATTAACGATGAGCTGGAAAGGGGATTCTTAGCCTCTCATCCCCTGCCTTTGATTATCCTCTCCTTTTGCTCACTTCGTATTTTGTTTGTGCTGCTAATACATAAGGTTTTGTGACCCATTTCTCACTGTTGAACTGATTTCTATGGCAGCCCCAAGTGACTGATCTGCTTGTGCCTAGATTTTCATTCACCTGCGTATGCTTCCAGTATCATATCAAGTTCTTGAAGGATACCTGGAGTCAAGTTGGATGCCATCAGTAAAGATGAAGACAAAGTCCAGCACACCTTGTCTGAAAGATAAAAATGGTCTTCAAATCTGCCAAAAATCAAGTGTCATATACAAGAATCCTCTCTCCCATGTTAAAGTTGGTAAAAAAGAAGAAGTTATTGATTTGTTTCAAGGACAACATGATGGTAAGTGATGTAGTTATGGAAGTTCATCAATATAGAAGGATAAAAAGGCAAACAGCTGTTTTAATGTAGTTTAAGAAAATAAAGATTTTGATGAGAGTTTTCTCGCACTTAAATAAATATAGATAATACTCACAATTCATAATTAAATGAACAATAGAATTGAGAAGGTAAGAATTACTTGTCATCAATTGAAAGAATGAAATAATTAATGAACTATGGAAATACATTGTTCCAGAGCTAAAACAATGAAAAACTCGTACGGAATTCGTCCCTAAGCTTTTTTACCTAAAAAAACTGGGGCCTAAGCCCTCTTTAAATAGGAAATTTCTGCGTTTGGGTCGACTTCATTCGTGCATGACGTGCGTGTGACTGTGCGCATTAGTGCAATGTCTTTTTTTGCATTTCAAATTTGGCTATGCCTTCGTCACGACTAATGAAAGTTGTAGATTTTGAAGTCTTCTATTCAACACAACATGAATCCCTTGATTTGGGCCCGCCTATCAAAATATATTTGACAAATAATGAAAAGTGTTTATCCTGAAATTTTAGTAGCGACAAGCCGACAACCTTACTTCCTCATTTGATTTCACATTGATCTTTTCATACTTTCACCATGATGTCTGTACAAGATTTGTAGCTTATTGAGTTATCTTTTACCTGAAACTTGAATGATTGCATTTGAAGTTGTCTACAAAACGATATAATCAAATTATGAACAGAACTTGACCCTGGTTCATGGTTGTGAGGTTGCCAGTGGTCGAAATTGCCATTTTTTGTGCTCTGACTCTTCTTGTTCATCTCCAAAGTCCATCTTCAGTTATTTTCTCTAAAACCTTATAAAGTCCTTCCAAAAACACAAAGAACTGCGTAGAACATGATAAATCAATTCTTAGTTAAATAATGCAAAAAATTATGCTAGGAATGTCTAAAAATAACAGTCCATTAAACATTAAAGTGTGTTGGAATACGAACTTTTCAGAATTCTACTTGTTTTGAAATTGAATGTTTTCCTATAATATTTATAGGGGAGAGGAGACCTAAATGAAACTATGAATAAGTAACTTTTACCGAAGATAATGCAGTTAGTGTTATTAATACCACTTTTGTAAAAAATTTCAGTCTCAGAAATAAAAAGTTGACCTATCATAATCTATAGGGAAGAAAGAAAGAAAATGAGAACGAATAAGTAACTTTTTTTGTATAGGAAATACAAACAAGTATCTACTTTCATAGAAATGATTTGATTTGAGATTTCATTCATAACACTTTCTCAACACCTTCACAAATATTTATTAATATCCTGAAGCGACATCACAACACCAACTTTCCGGAACTTTCTGCAAACACTGTGAAGCCTCTATTATCGTTCTTGCAGGTTCATACTGCAATGGAGTATACTCGGATGGTTTCGGAAGAGATAAAGGTCATGCTGATGAATTGCTTAATGGAGATGATCCTCCACTTGAATGTAAACAATTACCCACAAGTGATTCCACAACTGCTGGCAGCATGGTATTTTGGTGAATTTAGTTTTGTAGCGTGTGTGTGTGTTTTAGTTTATATCATTAGTTCTTCTAGAGATCAAGATTTAGTTATTTAAATTTCACATCTTTAGAAAATTTATCATGTTCTGAACTTGTATAGGATTCTACATCGACAACCTGCACGTCAAGCTCGGAGACAATTTTTTCTCCTATTCTGGAGTCCATTGATGTTCATAGTGTGTCAAATGTCAGAAGTGACGGAGGTACATTCTCTGAAAATTTGGATCTGCCTTTTTAAAATTTGCTAAGTGAATCTTTCACTCAAATAACAATCTTGAAATATTATTAGGAGATGATAGCACTTGAGAGTGATCTGGCTTTTGTTTTCTAGTGATTAAAAATATTTAATGACATGAATAATCATTATTAACATTATAATTGCTGTAATTGCTTTTATATATAAATGGATAACAGTATGTGTAAAGTACGTTTCTTCAACATTCCCCGTCACTTTTGTGTGTTGTCTACTAGTCCTTGTCAATAATTCCTTTTTGTTTTGTCCAGAGCAAGTAGAAGGAATGGGAAATTTTGACAATCTGATTCTATGATTCTTTAATTGGCTGTAGGGAGCAATGATCTTTATCTTCCATTGTTGGAGACAGAAGATAGTGATAGCAGTAGAAGCTCATGTGAATATAATTCGTGCAACATATCGGATTTCTACATTTCTGACATAATTGCTTCGGGCTTACCTGCTGCTGATGGAATAACCTATGATGATGATTCATTAACCATGTTTTTCTCTGATTATAAATGTGAAATACCAAACATGTTTACTAACATGGCTGAGGATGACATGGTGTTTCCTTTTCTTGAACATACTCCTGAAGCTGTTCATGGCAATGATAATAGAACACGCACCGAAAATGTTACTGGTTCTGACCAATCTAGCTTATATATGGCAATCCACCAATTAAGATCATCTGATCAAGAAACTGATGTTTTTGCACACTGTGAATCGGATCAATCTAATGTCTTTGATCCACACATGTTTATTAGACACATTCCAGATGGGACAGATGTGGTAAAGCCAACTATATTGCCAAATACATTTGAGAGGAGAAAGCCAGTCACCCTAGTGCTAGATCTGGATGGTATGTTATGCTGTATATTTTTATCTTTTTAGGTATTCCAATTAGTTATTTTGCTATGTAGTCCAACAGGTATTGAAGTTAGGTAATCAAGTTATTTTATCCTATTCTTGTATCTTTCGTAAACATATTACCGTTATGGGGAGTTCTTCCCGTGATAAAATATAGCAAAATAAAAAAGGAAAGTAGGGTGAATACTAGCTTCATATTTGCAAGGTTGGGACTGCAAAACCTGCTTTTATTACATGTGAATAGTGTTTCAACTTACAACAACAACAACATCCAAGCCTTAGTCCCAAAAGATATTGGGGTCGGCTAACATGAATCGATACATGATATCACCACCAAAAGGAAAAGATGAATAGTGTTTCAACTTACAGTCAACATTTTTAAAAAGTTGATGTTAAGTACTTGCCTTTCTTGTGTCCAGAAACACTTGTCCATTCTACGCTGGAAGAATGCAATGATGCGGACTTCACATTTCCAGTCTTTTTCAACATGAAAGATCACATTGTATATGTGAAACAGAGGCCACATCTTAGGCCATTTCTGGAGAGAGTTGCAGATATGTTTGAAATTGTAATATTCACAGCAAGTCAAAGCATTTACGCAAAACAGCTACTGGACATACTGGATCCTGACGGAAAATATATTTCAAGGCGAGCTTATCGTGAATCATGCATCTTTTCCGATGGTAGCTACACTAAAGACTTGACAGTGTTGGGCGTTGATCTCGCGAAAGTTGTAATAATTGATAATTCCCCGCAGGTACTTATGTATCTATTTCATATATTTGACTTATTGGATGTTTCATTTGTAGTTTTGGTTTAAAATGATGTGGTGCTTCATTTAATTTGGTAAAAAGATGTCTAGATGGAATATTGAACTTCAGGATTACCCCTTCTCATCCCTGTGGCATTATGGTTTGATTTGGGAACTTATATTTCATTTTTACCCCATTCCATTTATCCTTCTTGGGAACTTGCAGGTCAAGTACACTTCTAGATTCTTGAACTGGAGCAAATTTCCAGAGATGTGTTTTAAATCTAGCTTTCTTCTTAGTGTTAGGCAAGAAATGTTACTGGGGGTCACAATTCCCCATCCTATTACAAGGTGGCCCACATGCATTTTTCTTGTACTATAATGGTGATTATGGATGTAGGCGCATTACTTTTGGAGATGTATTTTACCATATATTAGCCTCTTTCTTTTCTGTAGCAAAATTGGAAATGCACATTTTAATTTCAGTTAACATCCGATTGAGAAGAATTTAGTCATATAACTGAAAAATACCTGTGCTTGATTTCAGGTTTTCAGGTTACAAGTGAACAATGGCATTCCTATTAAGAGTTGGTTTGATGACCCTTTTGATTCTGCACTAATTTCACTTCTGCCATTTCTTGAGACATTGGCAAATGCAGATGATGTTCGTCCTATCATTGCTGAGAAATTTGGTAACAAGGAATAAGAGTTACGTTCGCAGATCCTTTAACAGATCATTGTCTTTTCCATCCATTTAAAAACATTTAGGTGCTTATTTTTTAGTCCACTTTGAGTTTTGATATTAATTAAAAAAATCAAATAAGAATATTACCTCTCTTCTGCTTGCATCAGTTTCAGCGTTTACTTCTTTAGCTCAACTCGTTGACAAGATTTTTGTGAGTTCATCTAATTGTTGCAGATGGTAGTTGGCAATAGTTCATTGGTCTGTGCAATATGTACAGTTAAAGATTCTTATGAAAACAGTTATAGGTTCTCATTCCTTTACAAGTTTGTGTATATCAGTATTCTATCATTTATTTTATGCAATGAATTTTGTGGCCTTCCGGATCTGCATCTGATTGATTCTTCACTTTTACATGTGTGTATACTAAGTGAGGCTTTGAATATCTTATTCTAACCTGATGTGTACAACTTTACCTCTAACCTGGAACAAATCTTTACATCTTCATTTTCTTTGGGAAATCAAATTTGGGGGCTACATAGTTGATATTGTTTTATGAAATTATTATATACGCGCCCCTATTTCTGAATTGAGGGTTCAGATCTGAAATCATCGATTGGTAGAATGTGGTTCTTGATTTCTCGCAGGTAAATGAATTTAGATTGTTGGCAATTTTAAAGCTCTAATAGAATTGTTTAGCACCGAGTGGATTAATTATAGCCCCTCCTAGTTTCTGCCTCCATCAACCTGTTCCATCTCTGCTATCGATCTTGTTTAATTAATGGCAGGTCATATAACAAAAGCTTGCTAAGACATTAAGATTCCTGTTTATGCTGTTAACGGCAAGAAAAAGACGACGGGTTTGGGGATCAATGGACCTGATAGCTATGATATTTTAGTAATAAATCTGGTGTGTCCTCTTTTGGACTTTTTACAGTTTTGAATCCATCATCTGCAGGTCCTTTGGAGATACCTATTGTTTTGACCTCGAAGTGGACTAATATTAGGTATGCCATATACATTTTTGAATTTGTTTTCTCCAACTTTTGCACAACCGGAAGGAATAACATGCAGCAATATTTTCTGCCTGCTCCATCTGCTGCCCCTCCCCTTTTTCGTGTTTTCTGAACAAGTTTCCCCTTTTTGTTTAAGATCTAGAGAAAACTCAATTCAAGTTGTGGGAAATTTTATAGCATTATACTCTTTCCTCGCGCTGTTTAGGTCAATGTGTCTATTGTGTAATGCTAACTTATAAGTTTGTTGTTTGGCGTGTGTGTCATCTGGGGCAATGCGTTTAATAAAACTCTTATTTCTGTCCATGAGATTGTAAAAACGACTGTTGCTTTCATTGAGGAGCAGTGTAATGATGAAACATTCTTGAATCTTGTCATAGAATTGTGTTTGTTTTATCTTGTTGTTGTCATTGCTGTTCTGTGTAAATATTATTTTCGAAGAAAAACATAAGTTCTAGCTAGCAGCTATATCAGACATGCGTGACTGTGGAGTGCTATCAACATGTTTGGCTGAGTGTTGATTTCACCTTGATGAGCGTCATTGTTGTGTAGTTCAAGTAGTTGAATCAATTTCTGGAGTCCGATTTTGTTCACCCCTCTAAGGAGGGTGAACATCACCCTCTCCCTTCAATGGAGTCTGATTTTGTTCACCCCCTCTAAGACCACTTGGAGTGGTGTAGCCGTGTAGGATTAGGAGTCCAAAATGTTAAAGTGGAATTTTTGGACTCCTAAATCCTTGTTGTGGTTGCTAATAGGGGAGTAAGAATGGAGAAGGGGATGGAGGGGGTATATTTGAAGGGTGTCAAGGAGGGGCTAAAAGAAAAGAGGAAGAGAAAGGAATGATGCAAGGTTGCTTATTTTGTGCGGATGATGTCATGCAAATGTCATCCTTGCATCATAGTATCTCAATTTTGTTTAAACTTTTATAACTTTTTTATTTTTTCTCCAATTTTTTTAAGAAATATATCAAAATACATAAATTTTTATAATCTTTCATATGACACCAATATATAATACGAAGTATATAAAATGAACTTTTTTTGAAGTTTAAACTGTTGAAGTTTTTAATTAATGGAGTCTTCACAAATAATTGAGTACTCCACAATCAAACTCTATTTGAATTAAATTCATTTTTTGTTAATTGACAAATGTTAAAAAATTAATGAAATTTATTTATTTTTACATCGAAATGTCTTTTATATTTTATAATTATTCAGAGAAAAAATTAAAAGGAATATATTACTTATAATAATTTAATTAATGTTTTATCAAATTGATATGTAAAAAAATATGTGAGCGTATTTTATTGACGTTGCTGGAATGCAGAGAAATAAGAGTCAAAACACTGTTTCAATATGGATGTCGTCCATTTTTTACATTTAGACTCTCATCACCCTCTCCTAGGGATGGACCCAGGCCGGTCCGGTTCCGGGTCGGTCCCGGGCGGGCTTTTTTTCGCAAAATGTGTGGCCCGGAACTGGCCCGGGTTGATACCGAGTCCGGGCCTAACCGGGCCGGGCCGGGCCGGGCTCGGGTCAAGTTCATTTTTTTTTTGTTTTGGTTTCTAATTAACACCCCCCTTCACCCCCACCCCAAACCCCCCCAAAACACCCAACCCTAACCTAGAAAAGCAAAAAAATTGAAAAAAAAAAAATTGAACCGGGCCCGGCCCGAATCGCCCGGGCCGGTTCACCAAAAGTTGGGCCCGAGCTCGGCCCGCCCGACCCACCCAAACGGGCTAAAAGCCCGGAACCGGCCAACCGGTCCCGGTCCGGTCCGGGCCCAAACATTAACGGGCCGGTTCCGGGCCGGGCCGGCTCGATTTAGTCCATCCCTATCATTTCCCTTCAATGCATGCCATTTGGCATTATACGTAGTACTTTTTTTCTTAAATTTATTATAACTTTTTTATTTGTAATCTAATTTTCACAAAAAATATATAAAAATTAATAACCTTTTATGATCTTTCCAATGATATCTATAATGCAAACAAAAAATGAAAAAAAATCCTTTTTTCTTAAGCCTATTTTTTAGTTGTATTTTTTTTTTAATTTTACATATGTAATATTGATACCATACGAAATATCACAAATCATTTGATACTATAAAGATATCTATTTTTAATGTGCTATATTTTTTTAGGATGTTTTGACTTTTGACTTGGACTGATTTTTTTTGGTCTGGTTTGGTCTAGTCTGGTCTGGTCTGAACTGGTCTAGTTTGGCAAATGTTTGATCTCAGTGTATTTTGTAAATGTTTAAGGATGTTTTTACTTAGACTGTAATTTGCTGGTCTGGTCTGGTCTATTTAAGTCTGATCTGGTTTGGTAAATGTCTGGTCTCTGTGTATTCTATAACTAGGGAGTTTTTCCCAAATAGACTAAAGACGAAAAGTAATACTCCGTATCACTTTTTTCAACTTTGAAATCATTTTTCAAAAATAGACTAGATAAACTTTTTCTTTCAAAAATAGACCTCCTGCACTCAACTTCAAATAACTCACGTGACTGGATGCGAAGCAGTTAGGCGCTAGATATTATCCATTCTCAAAGTAGCCGTATCTTCATATGAAGCATTTTGAAAATTATCAATGCAAAATTTATACAATTATGATATAAAATATACAAAGTTTGTAAAAATATAGGAAATTAATATTATTATACACACTAAAAATTAAAAATACACAAACAGTAAAAAGAGTACACTAAAAAAATTAATAAATTGATAAAATCTGAAAATAATGTAAATAATTAATCAATTAAAAAGTTAAATTAGACAACAAAAATATTAGAAAAACAAAATATATTTTAAAAAACTAAATTCCATAAAATACAATCTAAATTATAAACGAAATACATTAATAAAATAAAAATTTTAAAATTGATAAAATCATATAAATATGGTATAAAAATGAAAAAGTAAAATATCATACAAATATAATAAAAATAATAACATATTTAAAAAACAAAATAAAAAACATGTAAAATGTACAAAAATGGAAAAACATTATAGGAAAATATTTCAAATTGAAAATAAAAATAAACAAATGATTCGAAAAATTAAATTGAATATAAATTTTAATTGTTAGAATTGCTATCAATAGTAAAAAAACGTGAATAAAAAATTAAGTTATACTTGATAAAAAAAGTGTTTCAAAATACAAAATATAGTTATGATGTCACAAAATACAAAATATAATTTTTGAAAGTAATTTTATTTAAACTATTAACATCTTAATTATTTAAAAAGTTACATTATTTAAAATTGTAACAATTTATTATTAAAAAAATTAAAACATTTTTAATACTATTATTACTATTATTGTTGTTTTTATGTTGCCTTTTGTTGCCTTATTTTTTATATTGTTACTTTTTATTTCCTTTTGTTTCTTTTTGTTGCTAAATTTTCATATTTTGTTGCTTATTGTTTATTTTTTATTCCTTATTGTTTATTTTTGTGCCATGTGATTTTATTATATGAAATGTTGTCACTATACACGCATACACATGTATAAAGTGTTTTTGTACCAAAACAGAAAAAAATAACTGGAAACATATATACAAAATCAAAAATAATAATACTAATCAGACATGGATCAATATAAACAAAATATAACAAGATGCAACCAAAAGCAACAAGATGCAACAAAAGCAACAAGATGCAACAAAAGGCAACACGATGCAACAAAAACAACAAAATAAAACAAAGAGAAACAAAAAAATACAATATATCCATTTAAATTTGTTTTTTCATATTCAATTATTAGCTCGTTTCCTAATACGGAGTATAAATTTACAAGTAGACTTGGGAAACTTGTTATTCTCTACTCTACAAGTAAAAACCAATATGCAAGGCAACAATTAAGTTGAAATATACAACCACTTACTCTCTCCTCTTCATAATAAAACCTTTATTATTGTAATTACAATAGGAATAAGTAACTAAGTAAGATTACTGAAGAAGTAGACTAATAACCATGATTTCCAGGAATGACAAAACACTGAGTCACTTCACACTTCTTCTATTCAGCAATCCTATGAGAAAATTCAAATTTGTTTACAATAAACAATGTGCTCTTCTTTATACCATGTTGGTGGCCGAAGAGTGTTACTGAAAGGGGCAGATCAAACAAATGCTTTTGATATGTAAAAGCTGATGGATGTTGAGCCCCGCTTCACTAAGAAGGTACTTTAATGATCACTCAAGTTATGTGTGTACAAATACTCTCAAGGATAAAAAAAAATTAACATCAATGAATGAATGAAATATATCTCTAATATGCCTCTAATATTCTGAAAGTAGAATGATGTTTAAGTTTAAGGCCACTTTGAACATAGTAGTCGACGCAAAAGAGAGCAAGCCTACAAAATAGTGAAACTTCCTTCCTGTGATGGTAGTATACGTATGCATACACTAATGTAAGTGGAATCAATAATTGAAATCACATGATTCAATTAGTAATAAGATGAAGAGCTTATCAAGAAGAGCAGGCTGAATCAACTAGTTCATTCTCTCTCTAAAAATAGACTAGTCACGATTATAAACAGAGAATCAATATATAAGAATTGGTATTTTCTAGAAAAGTCTTGTTTTGATATTAAACAAATCCTTAAAGTCGGTCTTTAAAGTCATAAAACAAACAAGAAAAACCATACCTTATAAATTTTTTAAAAAACTTCCAACAGTGAAGCAAAGCTCAGGCTCAAAGGTTTATGGCAAGAGCAGAATTCTATTGAGAGAAATGAAAAGGAAACACTGATGTAATGAAATTAGTTACAACTTAACAGGAGGAATAATGAGACTGTTGTCATTATGCAATCATTATGCAACCACTTTCGTTAAAATACAATAAGGTACATATATACACTATTGTCAATTAATACTCAGCTTCTAAGAACAACATTTGCATTTAAAGAGTAAGTCATCAATGAAGCAGACCCAAAAACTAAACAAATTAACATTAGCCGTGTATCAATTACTTCAATGGCAATGCAATATTGCAAATGCTAAAAATGTTGAATATAAGATAAGATGAAGTTACAATTCATAAACCTCATGTACTCCAAAATAGGTGACAGAGGCTCTAATGCTTGGCATAACAAGTTTAAGAGTGCATTTGTCCAACTAAAGGTGGACTATGTGGATAATTACCACAATAGAAGAAGGATGATCAAAGGGATGCAGATGGTGAATTTATCAAAGCTATTGAGTTCTATGTGAGGAGGAAGTTCTTGGTGTGAGGATATGGGTGAACTGGTGAAGAGCTTGTTCCTATTTTAAGGCTAGATTAGATGAATTCGACAAAGCTGTAATGAATCTCAAAGGCATACCTGCAAATTAGAAACCACCAGACAATCAGGCCGCCATTCAAAGAGCA